TTTTCCTGAGCTTTGGTAGCTGGGGAGAGTGCATGGGTCAGGATGAAACATTTTTGCCAGTCCAGGGGGGAAATAGCTGTAGATCTACCTTCAAGACATGGGTATATGGAGGAAGATCGAGTGAGGATGCACAAAGAAGAATTGAGTATAGTTGGGAGTTGGGAAACTACATGGGAGGGAGGTTCAGATTGGAGCAGGATGGATTCAAAGGCTGTTGGCAAAGTTAGAATGTCAGAAATAGAAAAAAGAACGAACATAAGACGCTATTTGTTGTCTCTGTAACCAGGTGAATGAAGCTGGAGGGGGGAACATTACTGGGGTCATTGACATCAAGGATGGGTCTGCTCAAAGGTTTAGGGCTAATACCAGTGTGCAGAGGGTCCTTCAGAATTTCTAATGTTAATATGTGGTTACACCCCTTTAGCACCTGATGGATAAATGCATGCACTAGCTGTTGGGAATTGAGCACAGGGATCTCTTGGTTGTTGGGGTTAACATCTAGGGGCAATCAAAGGGTTAAGTGTGTGCCTAGCTATGTGCTTGGTGTGCACTAGGCGGTGCTTTTACTATGGGAAGTGATGGATCGTGTTCTCAACTCTGCAAAGACACAAGATTCATGACTTCCCCGTCACAACAGAACTGTCTCTATGTAAACATAGACACAGCTTTGTTCTTCCTCCCTGATCAACGATCTGGGGCTTGTAGATCGGTTTGTGCTGTGACATTTTGCAGCAGAAGCGATCCTCCTGTGTGCACAACAATGTGTGCTACTGTTACTACTAGATGTTTTTGTTTTTCTCTTGCTGCATTGCAAGGTGAAAAGGGGGAGGGGGGGGGGCTTGGGTGCACGCCCCTACCCGGAAATACTGGATCCTGTACGTGTAAAACTGCAGTAGGTGGTCAGCTACAGGTTAATGAGTTCAATGGGGCCACGCTGCACCCGCATGCAATGCACGTGATGGCGGTGGTACAGTTAAATCAGGCAGTGAGGATTTGATGCAACACCTCCTCGTCATCTGCAACCTCTTAGATTTCTTTTGGCGCCGCTCTTCATCACTTATTCACCTGGGCTGCTACCGAGGATCCTTTACACCTATTTATTACCTGTCAAATGGCCTTTTAACCTCTTCCCTACCGCACTATAGCTAAAAGACGGCTACAGCGCGGTTGTCCAATTCTGGGACGACGTCCATGGACGTCATTCCAGAACACGCCCCCTGCTCGCCCCCAGCGGTGCCTCCGGTTATCACTGTGTCTTACGGACACAGCTTATCACATGATACGGTAAATGGCCAATCACAGTGGCCTTTTACCACGTGATCAGCTGTGTCTAATGACACAGAAGATCACCAGTAAATACAGTTGCCGGTTATTGTCTGCAATTTCTTCAAGCTGTCACAGCGTGAGGAAAGTACTGCCGATAACCGACATTTGTCAGAGTAGTGATCGCCATTAGTCATCAGGGTACTGAAGATCAGTGCCCATCAGTGTCGCCTACCTGTACCCATCAGTGCCACCCACCTGTGCCCTGCAGTGCCACCCACCTGTGCTCAGCAGTGCATAGCAGTGCCACCCACCTGTGCCCAGCAGTGTCACCCCTCATGCTGCCCAGCAGTGCATCAGTGCAGCACCATCAGTGCCAGCTCATCAGTGCTTCCTATCAGTGCCCATCAGTGCTGCCTATCCGTGTCAGCTCACCCAGCTCATCAGTGTTGCCTATCAGTGCCCATCAGTGCTGCCTATTAGTGCAGCCTCATCAACACACATCAGTAAAGGAGACAAATTACCTGTTTGCAAAATTTTATAATAGAAACAAAAAAAACTTTTTTTTTCAAATTTTTTGATTTTTTTGTTTATAGCGCAAACAATAAAACACCCAGCAGCGAGTAAATACCAGCAAAAGAAAGCTCTATTTGTGTGAAAAAAATGATAGAAATGTCATATGGGAACAGTGTTGCATGACCGCGCAATTGTCATGCAAAGTGTGACAGCGCTGAAAGCTGAAAATTGGCCTGGGCAGGAAGGGGGTATCAGTGCCCGGTAGGCAAGTGGCTTAAAGAAATCTTAACTTGGATCGCTCTTCAGAGGGCACTGCAACTGTGAATGAGCCCTTAAGGGAGGCATGTCTTTGACATCCAGGCTACGACTGACAGCCTGGCTTAACCTTTCCAATGCTACAAGAAGGACAAGATGATGGTGCCCAATGGCGGAGTAAGTGGGTTTTGGGGTCAGACCGGAGCAGAGTTTTGGTTCACTGATTATGAATTATTTATTATCCTTGGGTTATTTAAACACTTGTAAAGGAAAGAAATAAACAAATATGCTCAAAATATAAGAGTCGAGTGTATTCATCATTAAACATTTGTGTACTTTACCTATTTCTTCCAGATCTGTGCATTAATCCAGAGACATCCTGTAATAATGACTGCTCACTGCTGCATGTCCCATAGACTTTCATGCACAATCGTGTCCCCATTGACTTCAATGCAAAAACGTCCTTTAGTGTCTCCAGTGCAAAATCGTGTCTCATAGACTTTCATGCAAAGCCGCTTCCCATAGACTCTAATGCAAAAGCGCCCCCTAGTGACTTCAATACAAAATCGCCAGCCACATTAATGAAATTTATTTAAAATTTTAAAAACTGTCCGTTTCGGTTTCAGTTTTCGGCCAAGTGTATCTTGAATTTGCGGTTTTGGCAGCAGAATTTTCCTTTCGATGCACTACTAATTTATATTCCTTCCTGGCTATTGAGGGATATATGTAAAGTTTTTGTGCCTGGAGGACTGCTTTAGGGACTCAGTTAAGGGTTAGTGTTTTGGTTCAGGTGTTAAGGGGTTTATTTCAATGGCTATGATATACAGGGTTCAATGTTAACGTGGACCCCCCCCCCCAAACCTGTAAAGCACAGGTGCACGCAGTCATATGTTAAATAAACTTTATTTGTGTAAACTCACATTTACATTTCTTTAACGTCCTCCTTTTCTCAGTCACCGGTGATGTAGCCGGTATCTGCCAGCAGCCTCCTGGGAAGGCTATGCCACCAGTGGCTTCCAGGCAGCTCTCCTGTACAAACCTCTGTTTTGTTTCTATGTTCCATGGCTTCAGCAACGTGATTGTTGGGTGGTGTAATGATGCCAAAAGCCATGTGAATGTATAAACAGAACAAAGTGCAGCAGATCTCACACAGTGAGCGCCCCATATTGACATGGACATCTTTGGTGTGGCCCACCAAAGATGTCCATGTCAATATGGCCCAGTATACATGGAAGAAGAAGCCAACCAGAGATTATGTCTGTTTTTAAATTGATGGCACAGGTTTCCTTTCGGGGGTAGAATGGGGCAAAGGCAGAAATAGGCAAGTAAGAATCAGTATATTTATGTATCTTCCTATATTAATGTAATTGATGGTGGAGGTTTAATATGAATTGGGAAGGAGAGGTAAAGGTAAAGGGTGGTAGGGTAAAAGTCTAAGGAGTGGTTTTAGGGGCTAGGTTAATGTTCTGGTTAGGATTTGCATGAGGGTGAGTGGGAAATGTGTTTGTATTAGGGCAGCTTTTGTCAACCTTTTTACCCAGAGGAACCCCTAAAATAATTCTCAGGTCTCAGGGAACCCTTCATAGGAGGTCAATGGGGAAAATGTCTTTACAATTGTGGTCAAGGGTAAAGAATGTCCCCATTACAGTTATGGCTCTACCTAGTGGAATTGGAGCTCAAACTATGCAAGCACCATCATATAGGACAGGGGTCTTGAATAACATTTACGTAGGTCCAGTCAATAAAATGTTCTTCTGGCAGAGGTCCGAATCTCATGTTTGCACTATAACACATCACATTCCCTGGTTACATCACAGCTCCCCCCCATACATATGTATGCTTAGCCTAGTCCTTCACATCACAACCCCGCTATACATCACAGCTCCCTCTATACATCAGTATCCTCAGCCCCCCTTCACATCACCCCCCCCCGAACATCACAGCTCCCCCCCCCATACATCAGTATGTTTAGCCTAGCCTTCACATCACAACCCCCCCTGTACATCACAGCTCCCCCCAATACATCAGTATGTTTAGCCTAGCCTTCACAACACCCCCCCCAACATCAACCCCCCCCCCAATACATCAGTATGTTTAGCCTAGCCTTCACATCACAACATCACAGCTCCCCCCCCCCCCCACATACATCAGTATGTTTAGCCTAGCCTTCACATCACAACCCCCCTGTACATCACAACCCCCCTGTACACAGCTCCCTCTATACATCAGTATATTCAGCCCCCCTTCACATCACCCCCCCCCAACACACAGCTCACAGCTCCCCCCCCATATATCAGTATGTTTAGCCTAGCCTTCACATCACAACCCCCCTGTACATCACAGCTCCCTCTATCCATCAGTCTCAGAAAAGACTCCCTCTCCCTGTGCCCCCTGCCCTGCTGTGAGGATGACAGCGGCGGCGGGCTGGGGACTTGGGAGAGGACACACAGTTGCTAAGTGGCGGCCACGGTCCGAACCACAGTCTGCCATTTAGTGATCTCTGGGAGGTCAATCAGCTACAGCTCAAGGAACCCCTAGCAAACTCTGTAGGAACCCTGGTGCTCCACAGAATCCTGGTTGAGAATAGCTGTTTTAGGGATTAGGTTGAGTGTAAGTCCTCCATGCACACGGGGCGTTGTGATAACGCTGGCAATGTTAGCTTTGTAAAGTCACGTTAAAAACGTGAGTTTTTTTAGTGTTTTTGCATTAGCATCTAGTGGCGTTTAGCTGCGTTTTTCCACGTTTGCGGTTTTTTTTCAAAAAAAAAAAAAATTTTTTTGGTAAAAAAAAGTCCAAAAACACCGGTTTGCAGTGTTTTACCACAATTTACTGTGTTTTGCCACATTTTTCAGCATTAGAGCGTTTTTGCAGCTAAAAAACTCCTCTAGAAACCTACTAGTCCTGGGGGTTTTTTTCCATCCAAAAAAAACGTCCCAGCCAAAAAACGTTGATTCCAGTCTATGTGTGCATGGACACATAGGATAACATGCTGGGGATGGACACATAGGATAACATGCCGGGGATGGACACATAGGATAACATGCCGGGGATGGACACATAGGATAACATGCCGGGGATGGACACATAGGATAACATGCCGGGGATGGACACATAGGATAACATGCCGGGGATGGACACATAGGATAACATGCCGGGGATGGACACATAGGATAACATGCCGGGGATAACATGCCGGGGATGGACACACAGGATAACATGCCGGGGATGGACACACAGGATAACATGCCGGGGATGGACACACAGGATAACATGCCGGGGATGGACACATAGGATAACATGCCGGGGATGGACACACATAGGATAACATGCTGGGGATGGACACACAGGATAACATGCCGGGGATGGACACACAGGATAACATGCTGGGGATGGACACATAGGATAACATGCCGGGGATGGACACATAGGATAACATGCCGGGGATGGACACAGGGGGGATGGACACAGAGGATAACATGCCGGGGATGGACACATAGGATAACACGCAGGGGATGGACACACAGGGTAACACGCCGGGGATGGACACACAGGATAACATGCCGGGGATGGACACACAGGATAACATGCCGGGATTGACACATAGGATAACATGTCGGGGATGGACACCTAGGATAACACGCCGGGGATGGACACACAGGATAACATGCCGGGGATGGACACACAGGATAACACGCCGGGATGGACACACAGGATAACATGCCGGGGATGGAAACATAGGATAACATGTCGGGGATGGACACACAGGATAACATGCCGGGGATGGACACATAGGATAACATGTCGGGGATGGACACCTAGGATAACATGCTGGGGGGTTTACTAACTGTAGAAAAAAAACGTCAAAAGACAAAAACAGCCGCTGTAAAAACATCCGGTGTGCATGAGGACTGTGCATGAGTGACCCTGTCCCACAATCATAAAGAAGATTAACTTTGTAAAGAAGAGATAATATACTTACCTGCCCCACTGCCAGGGCATCTGATCTTTGCTCTCTTCAAGAGCCTCAGTGCCTTGGGGTGGGGGGTTGTTGATTGTTTAATGCCATGTGGTTGCATCCCATTGTTCTATTGTGTGTCTGGCTTGGGAGCAAACTATTATGGGATGTATGTGTTTATGTGTATTGGCTTGGTGGGGGGTGTTCCCAGCAGCCCTCCCTCCTGATGGGACTGTCTGTTGGTGTGTCTCTTGTTACTAAAGGTAGATTACCCCGCCCTGTGTCATTAGGGGGGGTTGTTCCCTTGAATGTATATATCTTGTATCTGTATTAAAATAAAGTAGTCTATTTCCTGGTTTACTTCAAGATTGGTGTTGTCAAGTCTTGTATGGTCTGCTGTGGTGTCTGTGGTCGGTGTTCGGATAGGGAAGCGGTATCCTCACGGAAGTACCCAAGCGCAGACTGGGTCGGTTCCGTTACACATATTTAAGGCACAAATTGTATGTTGTGATAACCTCCAGAATGAGAGCGCCATCAAGCCCTGGGATTCAGTAAAACCTGGCAAGCATGATCTGGAATTAATAAGCGCTGTGAGTCATTGCTGAATCCCACATTAACCCAACACACATGCCTTTGGTGAGCAGGTGCATTCGCTTGGTGCTGATGGCTTGAGCTGTTTTTTGCCCGTGGTGTTATGACTGGTGGGTCATGTCATTGCTTACGGCGAGAGGCACCAACGGCACGGAGAGCCACCACGTGCCAGGAGAGTGGCACTCACTAAATGTTAGGACTCTCTTAACCCTCATGCACACTTTTTGATAACGCTGGTAACGTTAGCTGTGTCAAGTCATGTTAAAAACGCGAGTTTTTCAGCTTTTTTTTAGCGTTTTTGCATTAGCGTTTAGCAGTGTTTTGCTGCGATGAGCGGCGTTTTTCCACGGTTGTGTTTTTTTAGGTTTTTTTTGACCCCCCCAAATTTTTTGGGTCAAAAAAAAGGCCAAAAACGCTTGTTTGCAGCGTTTTACTGCATTTTGCTGCGTTTTTCAGCGTTAGAGCGTTTTTACACCTAAAAAACTCATCTAGAAACCCACTAGTCCTGGGTTTTTTTTTCCAGCCACAAAACACCCCAGCCAAAAAACACTGATGACAGTCTATATGTGTATGGACACATAGGATAACATGCTGGGGGTTTACTGGCTGAAGAAAAAAAAGTCAAAAGCCAAAAACAGCCGCTGTAAAAACGTCCCGTGTGCAGGAGGACTTACAATCTTTTATGAAATGCAGTCAAAGGTGTCAAGATAAATGAGTGAATGGCGAATGCTGTCCAGAAAGCCCACATTAAAGGAAATTTCCATTTTCACCAAAATGTTGATATAACATAAAGTATATACATGATGCACATGTGATTTGTAATTACATTTTGTAATATGTTATTAAAAATATCAGTCGGTAGTTGAAATTGTTGTAGCAGTGCAGGTTTGTCTCCCAGGGATAGCTGTTTGGTCTTTTATTTAGTTGCAGTCTCTCCCTAGCAGAGGAGAAGCTCCAGACTGTGTGCCAGGCTGTAAAGCCAGCTATAGACAGATTGAGATTTGGCCTGTTCAGCAGATCGACCTCAGTACAACCAGCATGCCAGTGTGAAAGGGGCCATAGTTCAGGAATGAGCTCAGGAGTGTTACGTCCAAACCCATCTGAACTATCCCGCCTGTAAGAGCTGTGCAGTCCAGCAATAGGGAAGAGCCCAGGTATGTTTGAATCAAGTCTGAACCCACCTGAGCTATCCCGCCCTGTAAGAGCTCTATAGTCTAACAAGAGGGCTGTGGCCAGGTATATTTGAATCAGAGTCTGAACCCACCTGAGCTATCCCACCTGAAGCCCAACAAGAGGGCTGAGGTATATTTGAATCAGAGTCTCCCACCTGAGCTATCCCACCTGTAGAGCTCTATAGTCTAACAAGAGGGCTGTGGCCAGGTATATTTGAATCAGAGTCTGAACCCACCTGAGCTATCCCACCTGTAAGAGCTCTATAGTCCAACAAGAGGGCTGTGGCCAGGTATATTTGAATCAGAGTCTGAACCCACCTGAGCTATCCCACCTGTAAGAGCTCTATAGTCTAACAAGAGGGCTGTGGCCAGGTATATTTAGATCAGAGCCTGAATCCATCTGAGCTATCCTGCCTGTAAGAGCTCTGTAGTCCAGCAGTAATGATGAGTCCTGGTATGTTTGGTTTGTAGTTCGAACCCACCAGAGCTACCTGGAAGAGCTCGGTAGTCCAGCAGTAATTATGAGACCAGATATGTTTGGATCGAAGTTCAAACCCACCAGAACTAGCCCACCTGTAAGAACTCTGTAGTTGATCAAGAGGGATGAGCCCAGGTATATTTGGATCAGAGCCTGAATCCATCTGAGCTATCCTGCCTGTAAGAGCTCTGCAGTCCAGCAGTAATGATGAGACCAGATATGTTTGGATCGGAGTTCAAACCCACCTGAACTAGCCCACCTGTAAGAACTCTAGTCCAGCAGTAATGATGAGTCCAGGTATGTTTGGATCAGAGCCTGAATCCATTTGAGCTATCCCGCCTGTAAGAGCTCTGTAGTCCAGAAGTGATGATGAGCCCTGGAATGTTTGGTTCGGAGTCCGAACCCACCAGAGCTACCTGGAAGAGCTCTGTAGTCCAGCAGTAATGATGAGACCAGATATGTTTGGATCGGAGTTCAAACCCACCTGAACTAGCCCACCTGTAAGAACTCTGTAGTCGAGCAAGAGGGATGAGCCCAGGTATGTTTGGTTCAGAATCCGAACCCCTCTGAGCTAACCTGTAAGAACTCTGTAGTCCAGCAGTAATGATGAGCCCAGGTATGTTTGGTTCGGAGTCTGAACCCTCCTTAGCTACCTGTAAGAGCTCTGCAGTCCAGCAGTAATGATGAGACCAGATATGTTTGGATCGGAGTCCAAACCCGCCTGGGATATCTCACCTGTAAGCTCTGTAGTCCAGCAGTAGGGATGAGCCCAGGTGTGTTTGGATTGGAATCCGAACCCACCTGAGCAATCCCACCTTAAGAGCACTAAAGTCCAGCAGCAGGGATGATCCCAGGTATGTTTGGATCAGAGTCCCAACCTCCCTGAGCTATCTCACCTGTAAGAGCTTTGAGAGCTCTGTAGTCCAGTAGTAAGGATGAGCCCAGGAATGTTTGGGTCAGAATCTGAACCCACCTGAGCTATCCCACCTGTAAGAGATTTGTAGTCCAGCAGTAGGGATGAGCTCAGGTATGTTTGTATCAGAGTCTGAACCTACCTTAACTACCTTGTCTGTTAGAACTCTGTAGTCCAGCAGTAGAGATACACTCAGGCATGTTTGGATTGGATTCTGAACCCTGCTGAGTTATCCCACCTTGAAGTTGTCACTATACTGGGCCAATGGTAAGCAGCCAAGTCATTCCCTGCCCCACAGCCCATATACATGCCCCGTGGATACATCTGGCTTTAAGGTGGGGAATGCCTTGGCCACTTACCATTGGCTCTGTACCAGGGGTGGCGAACACGTGGCTCTCGAGCCGCGTGCGGCTCCCGGCCAAAATGAATGCGGCTCTGGAGCGGCCGGTCCGGTATTTCCACCGCGGCCGTGTCAGAATACCGGGCCGGCCGCTCAGCTCTGCAGCGGGACCTTATGGAGATGACTGCTGACCTTTGGGGAGGTGGGGAGCGGGTACCTGAATTTGACAGGTACCCGCTCTTACTTCTTTGTTCTTTGATCTTACCTGTTCCTCTATCCAGCGGCGCGCTGTCTTCCGGCTTCTGTAGTGTGGGCGCTGGGCATGACAGCCGGGTGCCAAGTGCGCATGCGCAAGAAGCGGTGCTTTTTGTGAATGGTAAGGCGGTACCTGGGACACATGACAGATCCCAGAAGCCGCCGGACCAATCACAAAGCGCAAGTGCTTCTCGCTCATGTGTACTGGGCACCCAGCTGTCATGCCGAGCCCCATTACAGAAGCTGGGAAGACAGCGTGCGGCTGGATCGAGGAACAGGTAAGATCAAACAAAAACTCTGCGGAAGTAAGAGCGGGTACCTGTCAAATTCAGGTACCCGCTCCCCACCTCCCCAAAGGTCAGCAGTCATCTGTACTGTCCGCAGTCTCTGGTCATCCCTGTGCTGTCCGCAGTCTCTGGTCATCCCTGTGCTGTCCGCAGTCTCTGGTCATCTCCTGTACTGTCCGCAGTCTCTGGTCATCTCCTGTACTGTCCGCAGTCATCTGGTCATCTCCTGTGCTGTCCGCAGTCTCTGTCATCCCTGGTCCGCAGTCTCTGGTCATCTCCTGTACTGTCCGCAGTCTCTGGTCATCCCTGTACTGTCCGCAGTCTCTGGTCATCTCCTGTACTGTCCGCAGTCTCTGGTCATCTCCTGTACTGTCCGCAGTCTCTGGTCATCTCCTGTACTGTGTCTGCAGTCCATTAGTTCAGAATTTTTTGGTGTGGCTCTCTGACTTTCACAGTTTAAAATTTTGGCTCTTTGTGTCTAACTTGTTCGCCACCCCTGCTCTGTACAATGACAGCTTCCCGGTGGGAATAGCTCAGGTGGCTTTGGACTCGGATCCAAATACATCTGAGCTGATCCCTATCCAGTGAGTGGGCCTGACAACGCTGCTTGGGAATTCAGTGCAGGCCCTTTGTTGTCAGCCCCTAACAGGAAGTTAAGAGCACCCTGGATTTCTGGCGGATCAGGTGTTTTTTCTGTACTTGCAGAAGTTTTAAAGTGATAGTACATGGGCAGGGGCGGACTGACAACTCATGGGGCCCCCGGGCAATAGAGGATCATGGGGCCCCTGTGTCCTTGCCCAAACTCAAAAAAGCCTATGAAAAAGGTACCAGGGGCATCTCATGGGGCCCCTACTGACTCCGGGCCCTCGGGCAGTGCCCGAGTTTCCAAATGGTCAGTCCGCCCCTGTACATGGGGAAATATTCATGTATCTACTAAATGTTGTTTTTCTTATAAGTCACCCTGACTTACCCTTTAAGCTGAACTTCATACACATTGCTCTGCCATTTGTCACCATCAGGATAACCACCCTGACAGATGACATACCATGGCCATTGGAGCATGTGCGCATGGTTATATAATGGCTGCAAAGAGGTCGCAGGAGATCAGCAACCCTGCGATAAAAAAAAAAAGGATTAAAAAAATGTTTTTAAAAAACCACGGCAATTGTTTTTGATGCTTTAGCAAAAAAAAAAAAAATGTCACCCATGTTTAAATCGACTTTCCTGAGAACTCAGCGGTGTTGGCATGCCGTTAGAGGGGACTGTTGTACGTCTCGGATGCAGACACATTTTATTGCATATGTACAATGACTTCATCTCTGGAGATGCTTTGAACTGAGTTCTTAGAACCTGTCGGTGTGATTCATCCGCTGATTGCGCTTGTGACAGTCTGGGTTGAGCTGAGGATACGTTAGATCTAACATAAACATTGGTTTTTTTTTTAAATATTCTCTATTTGTGTCTCGCTACCTCTCCACCTAGACAGAACACAGGAAGAAACAAGCCAAGGACCTCACCATTCAAACTTAGATGCCATAATAATGATCAGAAAGGCTCATTCACATGGGCAGCCAGGGGTGGTAAAAGCAGGCAGTTGAGCTGGGAGTAAGCAATACCCCATCATTGGTTTTAATGGGGGGAATAGTGCCCCATTGTTGGTACCAGTGGGAGGAATAGTGCCCCATCGTTGGTACCAGTGGGAGGAATAGTGCCCCATTGTTGGTATCAGTGGGAGGAATAGTGCCCCATCATTGGTATCAGTGGGAGGAATAGTGCCCCATCATTGGTATCAGTGGGAGGAATAGTGCCCCATCATTGGTATCAGTGGTGGGAATAGTGCACTATTGTTGGGATCAGTGGGAGGAATAGTGCCCCATCATTGGTATCAGTGGGAGGAATAGTGCCCCATCATTGGTATCAGTCGGAGGAATAGTGCCCCATCGTTGGTATCAGTGGTGGGAATAGTGCACTATTGTTGGGATCAGTGGGAGGAATAGTGCCCCATCATTGGTACCAGTGGGAGGAATAGTGCCCCATCATTGGTGTCTGTGGGAGGAATAGTGCCCCATCATTGGTATCAGTGGGAGGAATAGTGCCCCATTGTTGGTACCAGTGGGAGGAATAGTGCCCCATCATTGGTGTACGTGGGAGGAATAGTGCCCCATCATTGGTATCAGTCGGAGGAATAGTGCCCCATTGTTGGTACCAGTGGGAGGAATAGTGTCCCATTGTTGGTATCAGTGGGAGGAATAGTGCCCCATCATTGGTGTCAGTGGGAGGAATAGTGCTCCATCATTGGTGTCAGTGGGAGGAATAGTGCCCCATTGTTGGAATCAGTGGGGGGAATAGTGCTCCATCGTTGGCGTCAGTGAGAGGAACCATGCCCCATCATTGGTGTCAGTGAGAGGAATAGCACCCCATCATTGGTGTCAGTAGGAGAAATCTTGCCCCATCTTTGGTGTCAGTGGGAGAAATCGTGCCCCATCATTGGTGTCAGTGGGAGGAATGGTGCCCCATCATTGGGATCAGTGGAAGGACTCGTGCCCCATCATTGGCATCAGTGGAAAGAATCATGGCTCATCATTAGTGTCAGTGGGAGAAATTGTGCCCCATCATTGGTGTCAGTGGGAGGAATAGTGCCCCATCATTGGTGCCAGTGGGAGGAATCATACCCCTTCATTGGTGTAAGTGAGAGAAATCGTGCCCCATCATTGGTGTCAGTGGGAGGAATAGTGCCCCATCATTGTATATCAGTTGGAGGAATAGTACCCCATCATTGGTGTCAGTGGAAGGAATAGTGCCTCATCATTGGTGTCAGTGAAAGGAATCATGCCCCATCATTGGTGTAAGTGGGAGGAATGGTGTTCCATCATTGGTGTCAGTGGAAGAAATAATGCCCCATCATTGGTGTCAGTGGCTGGAACTGTGCCACATCATTGGTGTCGGTGGGAGGAATCATGCCCTAATATTGGTGTCAGTGGGAGGAATCGTGCCCCATGCATGCACTACTTTTTGTGCGATTTTCTTAGACATCTGTGTTAGATGTCTTGCAAATCTCACCTCAAACCGGCATGTCATCTGACTTTGAAATCATGCGACTTCACTGTAAGTCAGGATCGGTGTGACCGGGGTGTAAAAGTGGTTGTAAAAGTTTCTACTTTCTAAAACAAAAAAGATTATTCTCTCATTTTTTGGGGGGTTTGGAGAAATCTGCACAGCGCTGTTCGCTCCATTCGTAGCGCTGTGGGCGCAGTGAACTATTGAGGAAAAAAAAATCTATTCACCTTGTTAAAGTCTTCTTCAGAGGAGTCGGAGAATTCATCTCCTAGGTATACCCATGACATCCCACAAATTGATCTTCTACATTTCCTGAGCAGCCAAGACAGCGACGGCTCAAATCCCGCACCATCAAATTTTCAGACGATGAAACTAAACCGCTCTTGGAAGGCGCTGAATAAACAACGATCGCTGCACTTCTAGATAAACAAAATCAATTTTGAAAAGGTTTGGACTCCATGGATTTGAGATTCCTAACTTATTGCTGATGGGGGAGAGTAGCCGTGACCGGCCTTATAGATCACCGCCATGTATTCCTCGGCTTCTTTTTTGTTTCTTTTATTTTCTCCTTTTTATATTTTTCTTGTCATTTCTGGGTAATGTTATTCTACATCGCTTTCTGCATACAGATATCGCAATATTTGTTAGGTGATAAAGGAACACTACACTATACTATTCGTCCTGCTGCGTTGCGGTTTGGCTGCAGTGCTGGTGTATCTGTGGTTTTCACGTATTTACTTGCGGTTTTAGCGGGAAAGCCCATACATTTTTTTTTTTTTAGGTTACACCTTTTTGGGGCTTTTTCTGAAAGTGCACCAAAGATGCAGCGTGCAGGACTTTTGGTGCACCTTAACCCCTTTGCACCTAAGGGTAAAACAACTGTTAAAGCCTAAGCACAATTTTGCAACTTTGACCTGTGTTAATAAAACCCGTACATATCATCACAACTACTTTGTACATCCGGGTGGATTATACCGCAATTTTTTTCAGGGCAAATTGGGCTTTTATTTGGTGGTAAATGGTAATAGATCTAAACCCCTATTCAATCAGCGCAACACAAACGTAAAATAATATGATAGTGCACTAAATAGTTGTTGACTTCACAACACCTGTACCAAAATGAATAGCAATAAAGTGTAGAACAACAGACTAATATCTCATATAAAAATAAATATTGAACAATAATTAAAGTGATACTAAACCCAGGACCCTGCATTCACTATATCTGGTCTCCCTGGACCCTGCATTCACTATATCCAGTCTCCCCGGACCCTGCATTCACTGTATCCGCTCTCCCAGGACCCTGCATTCACTATATCCGGTCTCCCCAGACCCTGCATTCACTATATCCGGTCTCCCCAGACCCTGCATTCACTATATCTGATCTCCCCGGACCCCGCATTCACTATATCCGGTCTCCCCAGACCCTGCATTCACTATATTTGGTCTCCCTGGACCCTGCATTCACTATATCCAGTGCCCCCGGACATTGCATTCACTATATCCAGTCTCCCCGGACACTGTATTCATTATATCCGGTCTCCCCAGACCCTGCATTCACTATATCTGGCCCCCCCGGATCCTGCATTCACTATGTCTGGTCTCCCTGGACCCTGCATTCACTATATCTGGTCTCCCTGGACCCTGCATTCACTATATCCGGTCTCACCGGACCCTGCATTCACTATATCCGGTCTCACCGGACCCTGCATTCACTATATCCGGTCTCCCCGGACCCTGCATTCATTATATCCGGTCTCCCCAGACCCTGCATTCACTATATCCAGTCTCCCCGGATCCTACATGCACTATATCCAGTCTCCCCGGACCCTGCATTCTCTATATCCGGTCTCCCCAGACCCTGCATTCACTATATCTGCTCTCCCCGGACCCTGCATTCACTATATCTGGTCTCCCCGGACCCTGCATTCACTATATCCGGTCCCCCAGGACCCTGCATTTACTATATCCGGTCTTCCCGGACCCTGCATTCACTATATCTGGTCTCCCAGGACCCGACATTCACTATATCCGCTCTCCCTGGACCCTGCATTCACTATATCTGCTCTCCCTGGACCCTGCATTCACTATATCTGCTCTCCCCGGACCCTGCATTCACTATATCTGCTCTCCCCGGACCCGACATTCACTGTATCTGATCTCCCACAGTACACACAACATGGAAATGCAATAATTTTAGTAAATATAAACTGCTAAATTCCTTTTCTCATCAGCAGTTAGAGCAGTCTTGTGACTTCAGCAGAGTACTGGTTAAAGCTTGTAGAAGGAGTTTTCTTTCTATCCTAGGCTGATTTTCGCACAGTTAGTGGGTTAATTGGTCGGCCGTTTTTTTCAGGGTTTTGGCACATTTTTTTTATCAGTAAAGCTGGAAAAAAATCGGCCGATTGTTTTACCGATAAAAAATCTGCGCATGAGCCGTGACCTGCAAGAAGAAGAAAAAAAAGAAAGAAAAATAAGAAAAGAAGAAGAATTCCAGTCCGCTATTATATTTTATATGAAAAGTATTGCGGTTGCAACAATGCATCTATTTGTATCCAAATAAAAACATCTGTATCCGAAACAGATACAAATGGATACATTGTTGCAACCGCAATACTTTTTCATGTCAAATATAATAGCGGAGCTCTCTGCAAGGGACAGAAGTAATTAAATGCTGGCCGTAGATCACCATTGGTGGTAACGTCGGCCTATTGAACGACCGATTTTTCTTTTTTCTTTTTTTTTTTAAACGGACGGTTTTCAACTCGTCTATGGCCTGCATTAGGCACTGGTTGACCTTGTCCCGGCACTGGCATCAATGAACCTTGGCTGCCACGGCCCTGTTACCAGTTGGCCAGTTTCCCTTCC